TTTGGGAAGGCTGGGAGCGAAAGAGCAGGAATGAAAACTCTTGTTTCTTGTGGGTTTTTGCCCACAGTTGGAGAGACTGACTGGAACTACAACCCCTCTTGCTCTGATGTCACTTGGGGTGGGACTAAATTACATTTGGAGTTGCTTCTCAGCAGCGAGGGCGGGGCTTTCAGGCCCTAAATGTGTGGGGCACTGAAATCCTTGAAATCAGGATTATCCGTGCCAACCAGAAGAGGAGTGTTTGGTGCTGGCCAGGGTTGAATCTTTGCCTCCTGAGTGACAAAAGGCTCCAGGAGGTACAAATTCCACCGTTTTTCTCCGGGGCTGTGACAAGCGGAGCAGTGAATCCGTAGGAATATCTGGGGATCCGTCTGGGCAAGGAAAAGCAGGTGGTTTGAGGTGGAAAGGACATGAAGGATTATCCTGGGCAGGGACACCTCCCACTAGAGCAGGTTGCTCCAAGCCCTGTCTAAAACCTCCAGGGATGGGAACACTTCCATGTGTTTCAGGATTGGACTTCCCAAAGACTCTCACGTTTTCCAGCAGTTTCTGTGGAGTTAATTTGGGTTGTTTTTAATAGAAAGAGCCTTGGAATAACTGTGGGGCTGCCTGGGATTAACGATTTCTTGCTGTTTCATCACCTGCTGGCTGGCAAATGGAGATGGAAAACTGGGAAAGGCAGAGCAGGTCTTTCCCTGGGAGTTCACCAAGGTGCTGTGGGAATGAAACTGTGGAATATGGGAATCCTCCAGGGCCAGTCCCTGAATTTTGTGGGGATGGGCCAACGATTCCCAAGCTGAGAGAGCTCCAGGCAATCCCTGAAGCCAAAGGGATCGATCCAGGACTGTATCAAACAGTTTCCAGCAGCCCTTTTAATTACAAGGGACAATGAAAGCTTTGTCGTGGTGGTGACCTGGAAAAAGGAGTGAGGGATTGGCAGGGATTCATCCCAGGTCGGTGGTTTGACACTGGGATCAATCCTCTCTGCCTTCCTGGAGGTGCTTTGGGGGGGAGGATGCCATAAAACTGCACAGATGAACTGCCCAAACCCCCCTTTCTGAGGTGGTTTCCCTGTTCCCTGTCCTCCTTTCCCCCTAAAATCATGGACAGACTGCTGCCAGGAATGAGACAGGAGAGAGATTTCAGGGAGAACAGGGGATGGAACATCTCTAATTCCACAAACGGTGCCGGCCCCGCCTGGGTTTTGTTTGACCCTCTGCGTTAATTCCCTAAAAAACAAACCCCAAATTCCTGCCCATCTTTATAACAGCACAACAATGGGATTTCCAAGCTGAGCTGGGAATTAATTCTCCTGAAAGAGGTTGTTGGAGCCATTTTTTTTTGGGGGGGGGGAGGGGGGACATGAAGGAGCCTTTTGCTGGCTGGTGAAACGCAGGAACCACTGAAGTGGCACCAGAGCCACTTTGCACAATTTTTGTAGTGTTACCAGGACAAAATGTTCTTATTCCCTGGGATCAATGGGAGCAGCCTCCCATTCCAGCAGCCAGCCAAGCCAGCCTTGGAAAATGGAGGAGGAATATGCATTAAATGCTGCCCTTTGCTCTGAAAAAAAAAAAATTAAAATCTACATTTTATATTTGTATTTCTATATATTTCCCTAGAAATCTCTGGTGATCCTTTTCATAATTAAAAATATCCCTTTTTTTTTTCTGCCAGACTCCGTAATTTTAGCTGTAAACAAAACTTCTTAGAAGGGTCCAGGGATGGATTTCCAAAGGTTTATCCTTTGCAGGCTTTCTGCTGGTGTTTTTTTTCGTTTGTTTGTTTGTTTGTTTTCTTGATTTTATTTCTTTTCCTAATTTATTGAGGACTTAAGGATGCAGAGCGTTGTGCTCAGATGATCCTCTGGTGGGATCTCATCTCCCATCAGGAAAGAAAATGCAGAATAAAAGAGGTTTGACAGCAGAGCAGGAGTGGAATCAATAGGGGTGAAAAAAATCAGGGAAAAAAGAAAAATCAGGGAAAAAACTCCTTTAATTCCAACAAGGAGAGGCCTTTTGGCCTCTGCCCCGGGAGGGACTGGGTGCCGTCCTCAAACCCCTCACTGTGGCCGTGGGTAAACTCCCTGGGAATTCCTTGGATGAATGCTGTGGATAATGAGGGAGTTTTGTGTCTGACTTTGGGGGAGCTTTGGGTGCAGTTCCCAGAGTTTGGCAGGGATTTCTGTCAATCAGTTAATCAGTGAATGAATTAAAGCAGGTTGGGATCCCTTCGTTATCCAAGCCTGGGAGAGGTGAGGGGGAGTTTTCCGGCTCTCCAACGAAAAGGCTGGATTTGGTGATCGCTTCTAAGATTATTTTGCTCCTCATATGGTATTGTTTGGGGTTTTTTTGCTGATTGCTGAGACTGAAGCGTGACCTTTCCAGAGGAATCCTTGGATAAGATGTGTGAGAGAGGCAAACATTCCTAAAGGGGATGAAAAGGGCTGTCAGTCCTCACCCGGTCCGAGGGGCACAATCCCACTTTTCCTGGGCAGGTCTCTCCTGACTGTTCCTTTGCAGGCTCTGGCAAGGAACGTCCTCCCAGTGCTGTGCTGGCAGGGAATGATGGCAGGAATCACATGGAACGACCTTGGAATCTCTCCAACAGCTGCTGTCGGATCAAAGCCGCGGGAACCACGGGATCGGCATCGATCCCGTCTTGCGGATGGATGTTCTTCCTGAAATCCCTGCCAGGCAGGGGCTCAGGACTCCCAGACAAAGGGCATCCATCAGCCTGACTCCAGGAGCTGAAGGCTTGGAATTCAGCTCTGGTGGGAGTGTCACAATTCCCGTCCTTTAAGTCACTTCTTTGGGCTGGAGAGGGATTTGGGATGAGGGATGGAGGGGCAGGACACAGGGAATGGCTTCCCATGGACAAAGCACAGGGTTAAATGGGATATTGGGAAGGAATTCCTGGCTGGGAGGGTGGGGAGACCCTGGAATAGATTTCCCAGAGAAGCTGTGGCTGCCCCATCCCTGGAAGTGTCCAAGGCCAGGTTGGAGCCACCTGATTGAGGTTTGGAAACAAAGGGTTCCTTTGGATAATCACTCCTTTCCTTGGCTTCCCTCTGCTTCCAAAAATTCTGAATGCCTCGGATGGAAATTCCTGCTGTGGAATGACACCTGACAACTCTGCATTCCAAGGGAGGGAGGAGGATCCAGTGCTCTCCATAAATAGGTTATTCCAGAGTTTAATCACCTCCATTTCCAAGTTCATGCCTGTTCTGGGAGGACTGTGCTTGGACTTTCAGCTGTTAAATCCTGATCTCCAGAGGGAAAAGCAGTGGGAAACCCCTTTCCCTGGGCACTGGATCACTTCTGTCCATCACCTTTCCAACTGTGCAAACTGCCTTTTTTTTTGTTTTTTTGCCTAAACCTTCCTGCTCAGCTCCTGAATTGGGATTTTCCCTCATTCCCAGCATTTCCTCCCTTACCTTTATCCCTCCAAGGATAATGTTATCCTTAATTTTTTTTTAATTATCCCAGCAACACAGCGGGAATATTTTGGCCCTTACTGCCCTGGACATTGTGGTTTTTTGTGGAATTTTTTCCAAGGGATTAAATTATCTCACTGGGTTAAAAACAACCGGAATCTTGCCTGTCCCATCCCCTTCCTTTGGGCAGAATCCCTGGATCTGAACTGGTAGCAGAGGAGCTCCCTGGTTTTTTTTGCTCCCTTTAAATATAGATAACAATTGGAATTGTGGGTTTTCACTTCTGCCAGGATTTAAAGAAGGAAAAATGTGCCTTTTTCCAGGATTTTCCAAGGAGGATGGTTGAGGGTTTTTTTTAAAAAGCAGGGCTGGTGATGCCTCAGCAGGGCTAGAATCAGAGCTGTGAGCAGTTGGAATTGATAACCAGCTGGATCTGGTGCCTGTCAACATTCTGGTGGGAATGTCTGCTTGGAAAAGACACGTCTTGGATCCAAATCCATTAAAGCCACTTCATCCAAATGTTTGTTGGAGCAGATCCTTCAATATAAACAAGCCCAGCAGCACCTTATTGTTCCCTTCTCCCTGGGAAAGGAGTGAAGGGAGGGCAGGGAAGCTCCAGGAATAAACAGGATATTTTTCAGGTGTGTAATTTATGGACAGACTCCATCCAGGGACACTTCAGGTACAGCTGGAAAAGGGAAAAAATTGGCTGGAATACTTCAGTGTCCTTCAGGGGTCGTGACTTAGCAGAGCAGATAATTCCAGGGCTTTGATTGGAGCTGGAAAGAATTGAATTTGTCTGTTTGCATCAGTGGCCACGTGAGGAAAACCAGTTTGTGGTGCTGCAGATCAATCCCTGGGATTTACAGCCTGTGCTGCAGCAGGAAGGGATTGGGTTTGCTCAGTTGGGGTCCTGGAGATTTTGGTGATAAAATCCCTGCACCACAAACCAAAGAATCCTCACAGGATGGTTTGGGTAGGAAGGGACCTTAATCTTGGCTTAAATCCCCCCCTGTTCTCCTGCTGTTCTCCCCCTGGCAGAGAACTAAAATCCCAAGGGATCTTGTTGATCCCTTCCATGTTGAAGTTGTTGGAGAAGGAAAAAGTTGTCCATAAAACATGAGTGAGGAAAGCTTTTTGTGAATAATAATTTAAAGAGTTTCAAGGGTTGTCAGACCTGGTAAATTTGTTCATTTAAGTTCAACTCAAATCTTGGAATTGCCTGGTAGAAACTCTTTCCATTTTCATCTCAAATCACCAGTATTTAAGGATAAAACTGATGCTTGGGAATGATACAGGGGGGAAAAAAAAGAAAAAGTGTCTCCAGTTGTCAAATCCAAGAACTTGCTCTTTTCCTTGCAGGAAGTTTCACTGCACACTCTGGATCTGTTGGACACAGTCAACCATTTTTAAATCACTTGCTTCCAGCTGGAATTGTTCCTTAAATCCATGTGTTTTTTGCTTTTTTGCAGTGGGGAAGACTTCCTTGATCACCAGGTTCATGTATGACAGCTTTGACAACACCTACCAGGTAAATGAATCCGTGTTATTGCCTTGTCCACGTGGCTTCCAAGCTAGAAAAATCATAGAAAACAGAGAAAAAAAAAAACTATTCAGAAAATGAGCTTTGGGCCATTCCAGGATTGTTCCAGTCATTGTTTCCCGCTCCCAGAATTCAGGATGAGCTCGAAAAGGTGGGAAACTCTAAAAATATTTGAGTTTTCTCTTTCAAGCAGAAGATGTTTCATGGCTTGGTTACAGGTGGTGACGTTCTGGATTCACTGAACTGAGAGAAATCTGTTCCTTGATGCATGTGAAGGTTTTTTTAGGGGGGTGGGAGGAGGAGGAATGGGGGGAAGAAAAGGCAAAATGTGCCTCTTTTGTTGTTAGTGTCTGCCCAGGGTTCTTGTTTCAACCACAGCAAGGAATCTTGAGGGTTGATAAGAAAAATTCAGGTGAGGCATCACTGATGGGTGTCTGGTTTGGGTGTTAATGGAGTTGTTTTAGTGCCATTCGTCCAAAAATCTCTCTTTAACTGATGTCGTCACTGAGGGGGAGCCATAAATCCTGTTTTTTATCTGGAAGAAGGAATCAGTTCACAAAAAAAAACCCCCATTAGTTTGGCCAAACTCACAGTGAGTGCTGGTGTCAAACCAAAACACGCATTGTTCGATGCCCAGGATCCCGTGGAGAATTCCAAAGCCAGGGTTTAATGATCCCAACCCAGGACTGTGGTTAAACTGCAGGTGGAGGTGAGTTCAGGGATGAGTCTGAGCTCAGGATAACATTTTGGGAGGTATATATTTATTTGGAACCTGAACAAGGGGGTTTGTGTTCAGCTGTTCAAAACAGAAGGCTGTGCTTGATCAAATCCCTGCTGGAGAAAGTATTTAAAATGTATTTAAGAAGCAGCTCTTGAAAGCTGCTTGACTTTCCTTAAAACATTTGTTCAGGATGTCCCCCAGGAAGCTCCCAGTGGTGCCTGGAAGTTTAGGGGTGCAGTGAAGACGAGCCAAGCTTTAGTTTTTAGGGGCCACGTGTGCCCAGGTGTTGGGGAAGATTTCTGCCCTAATCTGAGGGGGAAAAGGGGGAAAAATCCATGAAATACTTGGCAATGTGCCCACAGCCGCCTTCTGGTCGAGCTGGGGGACACTAATTCGGGTCATTCCTAAAGAACTGTACGGATGAAACTTGTCAATATGCATAAATTGAAGTTAATAACCTTTAGTGCTTTAAGAAGTCGGGCTGGCTGTGGAGATATTTAAAGAAATGGCTCGTTGAATGGAGCTGTAAGTGAGAAAAGCAGCCTGTTTTTTCCTGCAAGGTGCTGGTTTTCCCCCTGGGAATCCCCTGCAGGTGTCCTGCCATTTGATTTAAGGGCTCTTGGTTTTTCTCATCTCTCCCCAGGCAACAATCGGCATCGACTTCCTATCGAAAACCATGTACTTGGAGGATCGAACAGTGAGTGAGCTTTTGTTGTCCTTGCAGGGTGGGGGTGAGGAGCAGCATCTGCTCTGAGATCACTCGGGAAGCGCAGCCTGAGCCTTCCATCCCCCAGCTGCTTCCAGGCTGGCGAGTGGGAGAGACGGGGAATCACCATTCGGCCTCCTCTCCCGGGAGGGAGGGCCCTCGAGGGCCATTTGACAGCAGCTCTTTGGTGTCACCCTGTGTGAGGAGAGAGGTGGGACAGTGGGAATTCGCACCCTTCCCGGTTTTGACGCCATGAAAAGGATAAAATCTAAAATTGCCAGATGTGGCCAAGTTAATATTCCTCGATTAAAAGGAGAGTGGTAACCCACAAATGATCCCTGGCTCCTTGAAATGAGATCACTCCTCATGTGGAAGCAAAGCCGGGGTTTAAAATGAGCTCAGATCCTTAATTAAGGAATTCAGCTGCCGAGCTGTTGGCAGGCACCAAGCTGTGCAGAGCTGCAGGAGCTTTCCTGGGAGCCGTGAACCCCCGGGAAATGGCATTGCACAGGATGTGCCTGAGGGGGGGATGAGCTTTCTGAACCCAAACTGGCCCTGCACACATTGCTTTTGCCATATCCCACCTTTTCTCCCAGCACCTGGATGGTGAGAGACGTTCAGCCCCATCTCTGTGCACCTCACTCCGCAGTTTTGGGGTTATAGGTGGCGTTTTATGCTCCTTGGAAAACTGACAGGAGCAGATTTTCCAGCTTTTCCACCAGCAGCCGTCCTTCAGGCTGCTGGAGTTTGCTGGTGTGAGGCCTGAGGAAGGACTAGAGCAGAGCACGAGACTCCTGCGTGGGAAGAGTTCATGGAATTGTAGAGCCATTTACGTTGGAAAATCCCTCGAATTCCATCGAGGGCAGCACTTCCAAGCCCACCACTAACCCCTGTCCCCAAGTGCCACATCCACAAAGCCTGTGAGCCCTTCCATGGGTGGTGATGGATCCACAGGCCTTTGGAGCCCTTCCATGGGTGGTGATGGATCCCCAGGCCTTTTGAGCCTTTCCATGGGTGGTGATGGATCCCCAGGCCTTTTGAGCCTTTCCATGGGTGGTGATGGATCCCCAGGCCTTTTGAGCCTTTCCATGGGTGGTGATGGATCCCCAGGCCTTTGGAGCCCTTCCATGGGTGGTGATGGATCCCCAGGCCTTTTGAGCCCTTCCATGGGTGGTGATGGATCCCCAGGCCTTTGGAGCCCTTCCAAGGATAGTGATCCCACCATTTAGCCGTAGTTTTCCCGCTGATCCTTGAAAGCCAAGTGATTTTGCTGGCCAGGGAGGCATTTTTCGGGAAGCTTAGCTCCGAGTTTTTCCCGCGGCCGATCCCTCAGGAGACGTTCCCTCCAGGAGCCAGCGCCCCTGCATGATTTCCCCCTCCCTCCCTTCAGCCTTTTCCCCCACGCTGAACCCTCTCTCTCCTTTTTCGTGGCACTTTGGCTCTTTTAACTCTCTCCCGCCCACAGATCAGGTTGCAGCTGTGGGATACCGCGGGGCAGGAGCGTTTCCGTAGCCTCATTCCCAGTTACATCCGCGACTCGGCCGCTGCCGTAGTAGTTTACGATATCACAAGTAGGTATTTCTGCACCGGGGGTCGACCTGCCTTTGTGCTTATTTTTCTTGCTTGTCTGACTGATTTTGTTAGGTACGGTTGCAATTGTGGGACACAGCAGGTCAAGAGCGGTTCAGGAGCTTGATCCCTAGCTACATTCGTGACTCCACTGTTGCAGTTGTTGTTTATGATATCACAAGTGAGTGGGGGGAATTCTGCATTTCTAATCCTCTCTGCCCCTTCCATCCCCTTAGCTTTAGCTTTGCATGTCCTCTCACGTCATCTGCTTGGTCTTCGTCCCGGCATGGAAATAAATGTGGTTTGTTTTTGGTTTTTTTCTTCCCTCGTTTCGCTGCTGGTGTAACGTATCAGTGTCTCACAGTAACATCATTTTAACCCTCTCCTACTGGGGTCACCTCGAGCCTGCCTGCTTTCTTTCATCTGCCTCTCAGCCATAACCTCACTGTGATTTTGGGTCTTCATGGAGATCTGAATTTCCTCAGTTGGAGACTTTTTCCTAGCTTGCTTCACTTCATTTACCTTCTCCCACCTGAAAACTCTGGGAATGGGCTGGCGGGGCACACGCATTAACCTCCCATTTCCCCTGGAATTTGTCACCCTGCGATGTGTAAAACTTGCCACCAGGCCCCTCCCCCTTTAACAACTGCTCTCTCATTTCTTACTAAGGTATGTACATTTTTGTCAACTAAAAAATATTAGTGCTTTCTCTCAACCCCCCTCCTCCTTCTGTCCCTCCCCCTCAGTCCAGACAACCCCTTAACTTACTGACAAAGAGCAGGAATTGTGCTTTAGGAGAGCTGAATTCCAGGCTGAGAGCAGTGGCCTAATTCTACACCAGGGCAGGAGTGCTTTGATTTATAAATACTGGGAAGATTACAGAAGGAGTCAGGGCTTTACCTAGAAAAGCCTTAATTGTTAAAAATACCACTTTCATTTGAGCTAAAATTACAGGTGAAATTTTTTTACTGACCTGGCAAATTCAACATTGCCGAGTGGTAAAGAGGGGAATTAAGGCACTGGCAGGTGACCAAGTCTTGGCTGTCTAACACAAAATATAACTTTGCAGTAAAAGCCATTAAAGAAATCAATATTTTGCAAGAACTGCTGCAGAAACCCCCCCCCTTTCCCTCCCCTTTTTAAGTACTAAAACTACTTAGGCAGCTCAGATGCTCTTTGCGTAACACTGAGCTCCGTGGCAGCTTCCCTCCAACTCCTTCTTTCCTCGTGGGGCTCAACTTTCCGAGCCCCACACAGTCTGAAATTCTTCCCTTGCAGCTCTTAAGGATGCAGCATTAATTTAAAAAGCCCAGGAAAAGGTTAAATTTCTCTTGTCTGGCTCAGTGCAAGTGATTTGGAAGTTGTCTTGAAGGCAAGTGCCCAGTGCCCCAGGAGCTGCCTGGTGTGTTGTATAACCCTGGGATTCCCTGGGGAAATAAAAGGTGATTAAAGTGTACAGGATTCCTAATTGGGATTGAGGACTTTGGAGGGAGCACAAGCCACGAGCAGAAGGCAAAAATCAACCCCCCTGTCCTCTAGAGAAAATAGTTTCTATTTTATTTGATAAACAAAGGAGCTGAAGCACAGGGAGAGGACTCATTTTAGACGCTGTCAGGGGCCAGTCAGAGATGGGCTGGCTTTGAATCCCCTGTAATGAAGCACCTGGAATTAATGCCACAGTTTTCACATCCTGTAGTGGGGGGGAAGATCGAGGGTTTCACTTGCCGGGTCTTCATCCCAATTCCACAGAAATGGAGCTTTGGTTTCAGGTGCCAGCTGTGTTTCCTAGGGCTGTGAGGGGTTCCTGCAGTGATAATCCTCTCCACTGTTCCCTGATAGATGTAAACTCCTTCCAGCAAACAACAAAATGGATCGATGACGTCAGAACGGAACGGGGCAGCGACGTCATCATCATGCTGGTGGGGAACAAAACAGATCTAGCAGATAAAAGGTATGGAGGAGTCATTAATTCAGCTTTTCGCTGCTCTTCTTACTCTGCTGCTGGTTTAGAAAGGGGGTTTTTAAGTGTGTTTTTGCTCCCGAAATGCTCGAGCTCGTTTTAGTTCTCGATTTTAACCCCCCTTTCCTGTGGTTAAACCGGATTTACAGCAGCAAAATTTGGTGTTAAACCAAGCTCTCCAGCTGGGAATGAGTTGAGAAACCACCACCAACTCGTTCAGGAGAAAACAGAGCGTTAACTCCAACCTGCACCAGTAAATGAATAAACTGATGACAAGGATTTATTCTTAATAAATCTGCTCAGAAGGAAACGATAGGTGCAAATATGCTTTCAGAACTGTAATAAATCTTCATTTTCAAGAGGATTTTTTTTTTTCCTGACTCTGTGTTGTCTTCCCCCAGACAAGTGTCCATCGAGGAAGGAGAGAGAAAAGCCAAAGAGTTGAATGTAATGTTCATTGAAACTAGTGCAAAAGCAGGATACAATGTAAAACAGGTGAGTGGCTCCTGCCAACACCCCCCCCACCGTGGGACCAGGACTTCCCTGGACACTGGGAAAACTTGGACAGAGGGATGTTTGTTGTCCATGCACAGCAAGGAGTTGAGTTGTTGGCTGAGGTTCAGGAGGGATCCCTGACCTTGGGACTTCTTGCCACGTGATGGGAGAAGCTTTGTGAGTGCAGGATCACAGATCTGTCTAAACACCAAATCCAGATTTGGTGTTTAGACTGAAAGGGAGCCAGAAAGTTGGGGAAACGCAGGTCTGAGGGCTGTTCCTGATCCCCTGGCAGGGAATGAACCACTCCAGGAGGAGCCTGGAACTGGGATTCCGTCTCTGCTGGGAGGCACTGGAAGTGGGAGCAGATGCTCCTGGACAGCCAAAGCTGTTTGTTTCTGGTAGATGATGAACTGCTTTTGATGAGCAGTGAAACGATGGGATATTGGGAAGGAATCCACCCCTGTGAGGGTGGGCAGGCCCTGGCACAGGCTGCCCAGAAAAACTGTGGCTGCCCCATCCCTGGAAATGTCCAAGGTCAGGTTGGAGCAACCTGGGATAGTGGAAGGTGTCCCTGCCCATGGCAGGGGGTGGCATTGGATGAGCTTTAGGGTCCCTCCAGCCCCAGCCACCCTGGGATTCCACGTGTGGGTATCCCTACATTATATCTTACAGCTGTAGTTGCACAGTGTGTGAGCAGAACGGTCCCAGGAGCTGCTAAAACAGGATTATAAACTCCTCTGTCCCCGACAGACAGCACTGAAGGGTCTGTTATTAAAGTGTCCCTTGACTTGGTAGAGAAGCAGTAAAATTATTCCCTCTCTAATGGAATAATTAGATGTGTTATCTCGGTGCTGAGTTCCAGTGCATTACCAGCCGTGGAAGGGCTGCATTCCAGGCTCCACAATTATCCTGCCACAACACGGGCTGGTAATTAAGGTTTGGATCTTTGCTGCAGTCCTTAATGAGTGCTTAGAGCTGGGGGCGTGCCCTGGAGAGCAAAGACGCGAGTGGTTATTCAAAAAGAGCTAAAAATGGATTTTTCCTCTCGGTTTTGATCCTTGTTGCGGGCATGGATTGGAATTCTCAAGGATTTCAAAGCTGCTCTTGTGCTGCAGAATGTTTGTAACTCTCATTTTTTATTAGTTTAATAAGTGGTGGTTGACACAGTTCTCAGAGGATAAGACTTTTAATACCACTGCTTACAGAGTTTCCTGTTTTCTTGCAGCTTCTCTGTTGAATTTTATGAATTTATTTTAACTCATTAACTTATTTATCTAATTTATTTACCAACAAATTATCCCCCATGGCTACATCTGCTGCATGGACCCACTCCCCGTAAGATCTTCAACAAGCTGAGTGCAAATCTGGCCTTCCCACAACCGATAACTAAGAATATATTTTAATCCTGGAGAACAATCCCAGTCCGAGTTAATTTACCTCCAGGATTTTTGATTCAGGTGTCAAATTATTTTAGATACAAATACATAAGTCGCATTTTGACTACCTAAAGTGAACGTTTATTTTTGACCACATGAAATGGAATTTTGTTTTTTGAATACATGAAGTGAACTTTTATTTCTTGACTGCAGGAAATGGAATTTTTTTTTTTTTTTGGACTACATGAAATGGAATTTTATGTCAAAATTAAGATGTGAGATATAAAATATTAATGTAAAGGTGAGATTTGGAGTAGTTGGTGATTCACTGGTTTGTCACTTGTGTGCAGGCTCAGATTTAGGAATTAATTAAGAGTTTGTGAGTGGAATGTGTGGATTAGGGAATATAAACTGTTTGTTTGGAGGGTCTTTTTTTTTTTTTTTTTTTTTTTTTTTTTTTAACCTTCCATGCAAAATTCCTGCCTGCCAGCATTGAAACTTCCCAGGAGCCTTCAACTGGAGCACTGGATAACTTGCTTCATTTAATGCCTTTAATTCCTTCTGGCAGCCCTGACAAAGCTTGACAAGACTTTGGGATCCCTGCTCTGTCTCCACAGTGGGTGTTTCAGGGAATCTCATTGGTAGCCCCTGCATTTCATGCCCAGAATGTGTCAGGGTTCCTTTTGCTGCCCTGGAGAAGGAGAAGGGAAGGGAGAGCCCTGGAATTCCTGCTTCCAGCAGTACCTGGCACATTCCATATTGGCTCTCCAGGAGCCCCAGGCTCTGGCAGAGGAATTTTCTCATGGCAGCAGCTGAAGGGACGTGGCCCCTCACTCACCCCGGGCTCTTTGTCCTCGTCTTCTTTTGATTTCTGTCCGTGGGATGGCCAAGAATTATTCCCAGAGTCACAGAGGAGGAGAATTAAGGAGAGATTTTGGGTTGCTTTGCCTGGGTTTCTTGCCTGGCTTTTCCACCTGGGCAGGGATCTTCCTGCCCTTCCCACATCGCTGCAGGAGGGTGACAGGGAAAACTGCTTTATCCTGCAGCCCTTTGTGACCCTGATCCCTGGGGATTTACTGCCTGGAGTGGGAGGAAAGGCCCAGTTTGGTAAATCTCGACATAAGGGCGAGAGATGAGGGTTTTCCCCCCGGGGTTTCATCAGCAAGGAGGTTGCAGGGAGACTTTGTGTGGCTCTTTTAGTCTTTCAGGTGCTGCATTTGGGGAAAAAATAAGTCCTGACTGCTCCTCAGTGTGTGTTTTTTTATACCCACAGAAACATTTAAACATATCCGTGTGTATTTGCTCCCTGTGTCACGCCCCATGTGAAGGCAGCTTCCAAATCATCAGGAAGCTTCCCCCTTAATTGGATTTCTCTCCACATATGCTGTGGCTGATAAGCAGAAGGTTAATAAGAGCGAAAGTTGATTTTCTTAGTCGCCAAATTCCTATTTTTAGGCAGATGATTCGGGGGAGAAAGGCAGCTAAAAGCATGGTTTTATTCCTGGTCTCTTCATGTAAAGCAAGGATTAGGGTATTTTAAACAGCCTTCCTGTCAGCAGCTTGGCTTAAATGCAGCAACTCCAGTTGGTTCCATCAGCTGAGGAGTTTTTAAGATTCCCCAACCCTTTCCCTCTATAAATTTCCCTCAGTGTATTGTAGAGGGAATCAATGGAATCCCGGAATGGTTTGGGTGGAAGGGATGTTGAAGCTCAGGGACACCTTCCGGTAGCCCAGGTTGCTCCGACCTGGCCTTGGACACTTCCAAACCTTCTGTGCCGAGGGCTGGGTCAGAAATGCTCTTTAAGATTCCCTCAGTTGAGGAATCCATCTTGTGAGAATTTCCCTGATGTTTTCAGGGAGCCTGGAAGGTTCTGGATCACGGCAGAGGTCCATGGAAACAGAGGAGGGTGCTGAGCTTTGTTACTGTGAAATTGGGGCCTGAAGTGTCTCCCCAGCACCATTTGGGAGCCAAACTGGTGCAAGTGCTTGGACATGGATCCAAAGGCTGCTCAGGTCCCTGTATTCCTGATGGGAACAGGCTGGCAGAGCCTGGGCTCAGTTTTCCGTGGAAAGTGGGTCACTGGGAATAAGTGGTTTAGCTTCGAGTCATTCGAGGAGAGGCAGGAAAACATGGAATAACGACGCACAGCAAGGCTGACGTCAGAGCCAGCCCCGGTGTTCTGGGATCCTGCACTGCTGTCAGGATGGGAAAACACAGAGGGATGGGGGTCTGGAGGGCTTGGAAGCAGCTGCTTTCCTGGAACTTGATGAGCCAGAAGAACAGCGTAGAAACATTGTCTGTAACAGGGGGAAAATACAAAGGAATATTGAAGTATTTATGTCTGGGGGTGTGCTGGATGCGTCCCAATGGGATCGGGACTCTGCCAGGGCTGTTGTCCCAAGGGAAGAACCGACTAGGTGGTCATTTGATAACCCTGATGGATAGTAAAGGTGTTACCTGTCCTTCCATCCATCGGATCTGCGCTGGCCTTGCCCGAGGCATGTGGAAAAGAGATCCTTGCTGTCCTTGTGTCGTTCCAACAAACTGATCGTGGCAGGGATCCCCCTCAGCTGAAGGACAGCCCAGAGCCGGGCTGTTCCCAGGCAAGGGTTGTTCTGGGATCAGGGAATTCCAGTGAATTCTTGTGCATTAACCTGAGGAAGAGCCGTGTGGTGGGAGCTCCAAGGCTGAGCCTCAGGGACAAACAGGAAATGCAGGAGAGGGAATCAGTCCCGTTCCATCCGGACTCTCACCCTCCTCAGAGTGGAATAAAACTGGGAAGGGAGTTTGAGCCCAAACCCTGCGGGCAAACTGGAGCTGGTGAGGGGCAGAACTGCTTTGGGCTGGCAAATGCCAAACGGTTTTGTGCTTTAGACCCCGAATGTGGACACGGAATAACGGTGGCACCAAAAGGGGAGGCTTAGGATTGGGCACATTCCTTTGTGTGGATCCCAGGGAGCATCAACAACAGCAGAGACCGTGCCACTTCCAAGGAATTAAGGTTATATTTGGTGTCAGGCTTTCTTTTTGGGCTGAGCAGTGCAAACAGTGCTGGGGGAAGGGGGGGATGTGTGGGATCATTGTTTGAACTGGATCTTCCCAGGGGTTTGGGATTGTTTTCATCCCTTCCCTCTGCGGTTTCTTGCAGCTTTTCCGACGTGTGGCAGCTGCCTTGCCTGGCATGGAAAGCACACAAGACAAAAGTAGAGAAGACAGTATCCTTTATGCAGCTGTGCCAGGCATTCCCTGGAGGAAAACCCGCTGCAGCCAGCTTGTGGACATCCCAAAAACAGGGGGAATAGGGGCAAGTAACCTCCGAGCTTGGAGCACCGAGGGAGAAGGATTGGTGGGGTGGGAGGTTGGGATTGGGGAGGGGTGTTGAGGGGGGAGGCAGCAGGGGAAGGATGAGGGGGCGTGGATGGAAGTATGGGAAGGTGCAAACAGAACCAGAGGAGTTCTTTGCTTGGTGTTTGAACAGGTTGGGTGTGGGGAGGGGGAGAACAGCTGCAAAGAGGCCCGAAGGGGAAACCTCTGTGGCTCTTGCAGATCTGGCTGGCAGGATCCCAAACAATCCTCTGTAGGTCCTTTCTTCAACCCTCCTGCTCACGGCAAGGCTCATCCTAAAATCTCAGGGCCAGTTTCTCAGGGTCACATCCAGGGAAACTCCGGAAATCTCCAAGGATGGAGATGCCACAACCTCCCAGGGCAGCCTGTGACAGTGCTGGAGCCCAGGCAGCATCTGTGGGGTGTGTGAGGGAGGACAGGACTCAACTGATGGGATGAGGGCTGGGAAAGGGATAAAGGTCTCTGCATGACAAACAGAGATGGCTGAACTGGGATCCCTTACCTGGCCAGGTGGGTGTGTTTGGAACAGGAGTTTTGCCAGGGCTGTTGGTTTTATTTGCAGCTGGGAAATGGAGGAGAAATGAAGCCTTGGAGGAAGGACGTGGAAGGAACGGTAGGAGGGGGACAGGCTCGGTGCTGAGATTCCATCAGAGTGCAGGGAAGGGGATTTGGGAAGCTGTGGCTTGCAGAGCTGAGGCACAGCTTTGTGCTTTGATCAAAACCTCCTTGTGCAGGTTCCCGGAAGGTTAATGAGCGACAATCTTTATTAATGAGGGGGGTTTAGAGTGCAGAGGCTCTGTCAGGGAGTTTGATCACCAGGCTCCAAATGGCAGAGCAGTGAGGGCACTTGGAATTGGCTGCCTGCAGCCTGCAGATAGCACCAATGGGGCGGGATTAGTGGGGGTGGATTCTCCATCAGCTTCATTGCAGGACGTGGAGAGTTCAGGGATCTCAAACCACTCATGCTGATGGAGCTGGCAAGGAGTCTGTGACTTAAACACCCAGCGAGTTCAGGGCAGCCAGATGGACCAAATATTTGAATTATTGGTCTCTTATTTCCCTTCCCGTGTTTATTTTCTCCAAACCTCTTCAAAAGCAGCTTCACCCCCGCCCCCTCCCCTGAAGGGACAAGCTGGAAGTCTCAGCAGTGTGATCTCTGTGTTCCCTGATAAGGGAAACACGGGGGTTGGGGATTAGCATTCAAAGCTCCTCCTGGGAAGGGCTCCTTGAGGTTGGAGCTGGAGGGCATCCGTTGGGAATGCGAGTGCTGCAGAGGGAGCAGCCTGTCACAGGTTCAGAGCAGGCAGCTCTGCAGTGTCCTTGTGGGATATCAGCTGGCACTGGGAGGAGGAGTTCAGGCTTTGCTGGCTGGTGGTGGGGTGAGCAGAGAGGTTGGACTGGAGCAGGGATGGATGGGAATGTTCAGGATGGCACATGGCGGGGTTAGGGATGTGCACAGCCTGAGGAGGAATGGCCTTGCTGGAATGTGCTGCTGGGGCTCCTGACAGAGCACAGCGTCCCTCTGGAATCATGGAATCACACGATGGTTCGGCTTGGAAGGGACCTTAGAGCCCATCCAGTCCCACCCCTGCTGTGGGCAGGGACACCTTCCACTAGCCCAGGGTGTCCAGCCTGGCCTTGGACACTTCCAGGGATGGGATAGCCACTATTCCAACCTTCTCCTGCCTGTCCCAGAGCGGAGTGTGACAGAGGGAAGTACTTGCCTGCTGCCTGTGGAGCAGAGGAGCAGGGGTTTGGGAAATGAGCTGTCCCTTCCTGGGTTCCTCCAGGCTCCTGCCACCTCCAGAGCTTCCATGTTCTCCTGGGTGCCCGCTGCTCTCTGGGCTGGAATACTGAATTCCAGCATTGATTCCACACCGGGGGTTTCCAAGCTGGGACTGGTTCCCTCTGAACAAGCAACAGGACAAGAGGAGGTTTAAGTTGGATATTAGGGAAAATTGCTTCCCTGAAAGGGTGGTCAGGCACTGGCACAGCTGCCCAGGGCAGGGATGCAGTCCCCATTCCTGGAGGGATTTAACAGCCCCGTGGATGTGGCACTTGGGGACAGGGCTCAGTGGTGGCCTTGGCAGTGCTGGGGAATGGTTGGACTCGATGGTCTTGGAGGGCTTTTCCATCCTAAATGCTTCTGTGATTCTGTGGAAACGGTGATTAGGCCCTTCAGCGTATCCACACATCTCTAATTCCTGCAGCAGGAGATCCCTGGGATCACTGGGAAGAGCAGACTCTGGTCAGGGACAAATTTGGGGGGGGCTGACATCGCCTCTCCTGTGTATTTATCGTGGGCACGAGGGTGTGCTGAGAAACCTTGATCTCAGCCTTGCTTTGGAGCTGGGCTTTCCAAGTCCTCCAGGGAAACACCGAAATTCCAGGGCAATACTGAAAAATGCCAGGGGAAACAGAGCTGGAGACCCGTTTTGCCTTAACTCCCTCCCTTCCAGTGATTGACATAAAACTGGAAAAGCCTCAAGAGCAGCCTGTCAGTGAAGGAGGCTGTTCCTGCTAATCCCATGTGGCTCCCACCTTTCTCCAGAACATCACTGCTCCCCCCTCTCCCTGTCCTCTCCATTGACTGCAGTGTGAATATTGGCTTGAACCTCCCCCCTTCCCGTGATAACGTATCCCAGTTCCTCATCGCTGCCTGTCTCGTGGAGATGATTATTGGCTTCACAAGCACACACACACACACACAACCCCCACCACACCACAGAGAGAAAAATGTCAGTGTCTTCATTATTTATAAGAAAAAAAAAAAAAAAAAAAAAAAAAAAAAAAAAAAAAAAAAAAAAAAAAAAAAAAAAAAAAAAAAAAAAAAAAAAAAAAAAAAAAAAAAAAAAAAAAAAAAAAAAAAAAAAAAAAGGGGAGAAAAAAAAAAAACAAAAACAAACAAAAAAAAGAGACAAAAATAGGTACAATTTTCTTAATATTCGTTCCTTTTTTTAATATGTTATGAGACCGCACTTTGGAATCGAGGGCGACCGAGTAAGTTTGGGATTGGACTTAGATGGGATGTACGTGCAGAAGAAGGAGGCTTTGCAAATCTGACCCATGGGAGCTCTCTGAGGATCTGGGAATGCGTAGGCAGCGGGAATGGCGGGCGGAGGCGGCGCGTGTGGAGGGCCAGACCCTTCTCCTCGGTGATCCGACAGCAAATTAACCCCGAGCTCTGGATTCCCTCGAGCAGAGCGAGTCTGCCTGGTGTCCAAACCCCCACCCCAGCAGGGCTTTGACACCACCACAAATGGTTTTGGACCCACTGCTGCAGTTGGGAATTCCGCGTTTCCCAGGAGGCGTGCTGGGAAATCCGGAGAGGGGCTCTCTGAGCGGGATGAGTGGCTTCTGGAGGATTTTTTTGGGGGGGATAGGGGGGAAGGAAAAGGTGGATGTGCATTAGCAAAACACTTGCAGGAAACAGGGAAATAATGTTTCGAGTGCAAGAGGAGTTTTAAGAGCAGTTGTTTTGGGTTTTTTTCCTTTGTAAGTAGAAAACACGGATGAAGTGAATTATTCCTGCCCGAGAGATGGGAACTGAATGTTCCAGGTGTTTGGAGGAGGAAGCATTTTGCTTCTTTCTTTTTTTTTTTTTTTTTTTTTTTTTTTTTTTTTTTTTTTTTTTTTTTTTTTTTTTTTTTTTTTTTTTTTTTTTTTTTTTTTTTTTGGAAATAGTGAAATCAAGATTGGCACTAAAACCCGCCAAAGCTGATTGATACCTTGGAAATTTGGGAGAGAGAGAGAGAGAGGGGGAAGAGCAGGTGGCTGCCCTGGCAGAGAGGGAATCGCTCCTGCTTTTCCAGAGCATAGGTCGGTGGGGGGAAGGGGTTGTTTACTTTAATCCTACAGAAATCTAGCTGAGACAACTTAGATGGAAAGGGAGGGACTTGAGTAGGATGGAAACCAACTTCTGATTATGCAGATTTATGCCTTTATTTTTTAGCTTTTTGGTTTTTTGTTTTTTTGATTTTTTTTTATGTTCAGTCTTCCAAGTCAGTTTAGTTCGGTTCACTAGAGCTGTATAGTTTGGTTAAACAAGTAGTAATTCAGTTTTCTATTGAACTAAGCTTCCAATTAACCAGTTTTTTTTCTTCTTTGATATTTATTTCTTGGCTTAATTTTTTTTTTTTTTTTACTCCGTTCAGTACTGATTTTGTGGGGTTTTTGTTGTTTGTTCGTTTCCTTTGGCTGAGGAATCTGTTGTAGAGCTTTTTTTTTGCTGGTGTTGCTGGATGTAGCTCCCCGAGACCCACAGAATGGAACACACTAGAAGTGCACCCTTTTAATCTTTACTAGTTCATTGTGAAGTTGCTGTGTAAGTTAATAAAAAAAAAAAACAAAAACAAAAACACACATCTGTAAATACCTTGTTTGCTGGGCAGATCTGGCCGAGTTGCAGGGAAGGAATTCCTGAGTCTGGGTTGCGATTGCTGCTTAGAAGGACAATGGCCAGGGAATATTCAGGCTCCTCCTTGGTTCTCCTTGCCCCTCTCCCTGCCACCTAAAATGGGGGAGAGGAAGGGAAGTCGTCCTCACCACCACTTTTCCACCAGGAAACGGGCATGAAAGAGTTGGAATTCTTCATTCCTGAGGGGCTCGTGCCCTGCCCTGGGTTTGTGGCAACTCTGCACAACAGTAACTCAAAAAGGCAGAACGAGATGTAAAAGTGCTTTTCTAATGCAATATTAAAGGCATTAAAGGAGTTTTTTTTTTTTTTTTGACGTGGCATGTCTTGAAATAAACATCAATGATATGTGACAAAGGATCATTCTTTCTTTTTAAAAAAAAAAAAAAAAAAAAAAAGAACCCGGCTGGGGGAAGGAAACCTGGCTGCTTTTGCCGTGTTGTGCTGTCCTTACCCGGGCAGAAATGCCTCGCCCTGCTGCTCCTTCCTTGGCTCTCTTCTCCTTTGGTTCTTCGTGCAGCTTCTCCTGCTCCTCAGTTGGCTCATTCCCACCAGCGCATCCTTGGTTTTCTTGCTTCTGGTAGAACCAACCCCCTCTGCTTCCCGTAGCCCCGAGCTTTAAGCACTGGATTTGCACGGAGCTGGCTGAGCCCGGGGCGGGGGGTGTTCCCGGCTTTTCCCCGGAAGACCTGAGAGCAGGTTTGGCCGTAATTCCCTCCAAACAAAGGTCTGGAGAGCAGCATTCCCACAGCTCCCCGGGGCTGCAGGAGCAGTGATGAGGCTGTGCTTTGGCCCTTCTCCACCACGAGGTCCCTCAGGGGTGTGCTCAGGTACGTTCTGATAGTCCTTGCTGATGGTCCGTGCTTAACGTGCCCCCAGCCCTCATCCCGGTTTTCCAGAGAGAACACGCTTCCAAAGCGAGCGCAGAAGCAACATGATGATCCTTTTTTTTTAATTTTTTCTTTTGCACCACCTGGTTTCAGGTTTTAATTTTCCTTTGCTCCTTGGGAACCTTGGTGTGATTTTTGGGGTGAGGGTCTGAGCTCTGTTTCTTCTCCCCGCTCCGCCCTGCTCGTTGTGCCGTCCCCGTCACGCAGCTTTTCCATCCACACCTTTTGTCTCGGTAAAAGTAGTTGAAGAAATAGTGTAAGGAGGGAGTGGGGGGTTTTTGAAAAAAAGGTTCCTTTTCTTCGTGTTGGAACGTCACTGGTACCTCAGCTCTGTTTGGTAGCGGCGACGGCGACGAGAGATCGAATCCTTAGCGCTTGAACTAAATAAATACCTGTCTCGTTGGAAAGCTCTGGGTCTCTTCTCTCCATCACCACACAGGTGGGAGGTGCAGCTCCGGATTTGGGGGCTGGAAGTGCCGCAGGAGGAGTTTTTTGAGGGCAACAGGAATTTTTTGGGTTGGCAGGGGGATGTTTGCTCGCAGAGGGAAGACGCGGAGTTGTGTGTTTGCTGTTCCTTCCGGTTCCACGCGGTGTCTCTGCCATTTTCCAGCTGTGCCTTGCCGGGCCTTTCCCGCTCTTGACATCCAGCTGTTCCCTTTCCAAGGGCCTCAGCTTCCCCGGGACACGGGTGGACTGACCCCACCTTCCCTGAGGAGGATCCTCCTTAAGCCCTGGAGCTGGGCAGGCGGGGCCGGGGAGGTGAGTACCAGTAACAGATGCTCGTGGATGGGTTATCCTTGTCTTTGCTGGAGGAGAGAATCGTGGGATCGCAGGATGGTTGGCTTGGAAGGGAGTCCCAACCTACTGCCGCGGGCAGGGACAGCTTCCACACAGGTTACTGCGAGCCCCTGGTCGGTAGAGAAGGGAATTCCCTGGATTCGGTGTGGGACATCCCAACCTCAGTCACTTGGTGAAGGACAGTGAATCAATGGGGAAGCTGAGGGGATGTGTTGGAATTTGGGAATATGGGAAGAGCCATGTGGGGACAAGTCACTGGAGAAGGTTTTTTTCACTGGGGGGAGCTTCTCTTCCTTGCACTTGGTACCTCCAGGTCCTGGGAGCCTTTGGAAACCCCACATTCCCCTCTGGGCAGTGGCTTTGGGATGGAAGGAGCCGAGTGGGATATTGGAGGGTGGTGCATCCAAAGGGTGACAGTCCCAGTTCCTCTTTGGAACTGAGCCTTGGGGCTGCCACCTCAGATGCTGGGATCCCAATTTCCCACCTCTGAAGGGGGGCTGGATTAAACTGCAGGGAAAGGGCAGGGGGGGTCCCCGGTGGGTCGAGCTCTGCTCCCAGCCCTGCTCCAAACTCCCGACAGGGAGCGTCTGGCTCGGCTTGGAAGGGCGCTCCTGGCATTTTTGCCGGCTGAAGGGATCAGCCGTGATTTTTCCAGGCTGGAGCATCCCCAGCATCCTCCTGGCGGCGTCTGCAGAGCCGCTGCAGCTGCCGGCGCCGTCCTCTGGCTGCAGTTGTGCTTCCAGCGGCTGGGAGCGGAGCGCGGGGGCTCTCCCGACCTGCGGCAGCAGCTCCTTTTTCCATGCTGGGCATGTCCCAGCTCCGGAAGGAAGAAGATAAATGGGATGGGCAGGCTGCGGCACAGGCAGCTGCAAACACCCGGCCTTTTCCTCCCAACTGCATTCCCTCCTCCCCTGCCGCTCTCCCGGCTGCCTGAGCCGGGATTTTCAGGCTTGGTTTTCACCTGTTCGATGGATCTTCCGTCAATTTAATTGATTTTTCATCAATTGGCAAAAAAAACCCACCCTATTTTATTCCCCTGTCCTGCCCCTTTCCCACCCTGAGCAGGCAGCAAAGTGGCTTTTTGTAAGACATTTGGGATCCTCTTTTGGGAGCAGGATGTAAATGCCGGGCACGGGCTTATCGGGAATGAAACCTCAGTGGAATTGCAGTGCCAGGAGCAGCTCTGCCCTTCCCGGGAGCAGGAGGAGGAGGGAAGGGCTGAAGGCAGCTGGATGATGGTGCTCCTGCTGCCCCCCACAGCTCTGCCTAGGGGTGCTGTTCCCAAATTTTCCGGGCAAGGGAGAAAATGGGATTGATTGGTGCTGGTGGTTTGGCACTGGCCTTTCCCACGTTTATCCGGGCTCGGGGAGAAATCTGAGTGGAAGTGTGAGGATGGAATTTGAGCTCCTGTGGAAATTCAAGGTTTGATCCTGACATTTCCTGAGCTGCTTGATTTCCAGGGAAGTGTGTTTGAATCCCCAGCTGATTTCAGTGCTGTGGGATATTGTGGGATTCATCATTCCAGGCAGTTTAGGGGCACATTTGGGCCTGTGAATCCTGCCGTGTCCATCCTCATTTTCCAAGGGGTTTTTTAGGAGTTGTTCTGAGCTTTGCTCAGTGTTTGGATCTTCGTCAGCTCTCCCTGCTGGGAGAGAGGAGTCATGTGAGTCTGGATTGGAGTTGGGAATGGAGCAGCTCATCCTTAATTTCTGTTCCTCAGCGCTTTTTGTCCCTCTGGTCCTGCCCAGCAGCAGCACCGAGAGCTCCTGGGAAGCTCCTTTTCTGAGTGGAGCAGAAATCCAGGTGTTTTTGTGGAATGTGGTTCTGATGTCTGTGCTTCCAGGTTGATTTTTGAAACGTTTAACTGCTCCTTTGTTCAGCTTCCTAGTGCAGGGCCTGGCTGCCACCAGCTCTTCCCACTGGAATCACTGCTGGACACACGCGCTGATCCATCGCTGCCCTTCCCACAGATCGCTCCGTGTCCCTGGGTCTCTGGGAGACCAGCACAGCGGGAGAGAAGCGGGATCAGCCCTGGGACGTTCAGGTACCACGGGGAAGGGGAGTGTGGGAGTCTGAGCTGGGGGCAAAGGAGCTCTTGCAGCAGCTGGACGTGGCCCGGGAAGGAGGGAGGATTTCTGGTCCTGATGGATAACTTCCCGATGTTTCCATCTCCGGGTGTGTCTCACCTGGGATTGGGCACCTTGTTTAGTGAATTGAGGAATGGTTTGGGTTGGAAAGGTTGAAATTAGATGATAAGAAGAAATTCAGCCTTGGAGCTGAACTACCCCTGGCTCTTCCCAGTACCTTGGAACTCTGGGAGAGACGGGAGATGGACACAATGGGCAGGGACACCTGCCACTATCCCAGGTTGTTCCAAGCTCTATCCAACCTGGCCTTGGACACTTTCAGGGATTCAGGGGCAGCCCCAGCTCCTCTGGGCAACCTGTGCCAGGGCCTGCCCACCCTCCCAGGGAAGAACTCCTTCCCAGTATCCCATCCATCCCTGCCCTCTGGTAGTGAGTGTCGGATCAGCACCTGAGGAGGTGACAGTGGCTTGGACATGGAGAGGGCAGAAGGGATGAAGGCACAGGGGGGTGTGTGGGACCGGATCCTTCTCCTCTCCTGCCCTTGGGAGCTGATGTTTTATGCTGGGATGAACACAGGGATGGCAGTGCCTGTCACTGCCCTGGTCCCTTCCCAAGCGGAGACACCTCATCCCACAGATCCGGGATGCGAAGGAGCTGCTCTGCCAGTGCAGGATGGTGGTTCCCCTGCACAGCAGCAGGATTTTTGGGGACAGCTTTGTCCCTTCTGTGCCTCTTTGGGGTCTTTATGGCGTGTTCAGGGGCTGGGGTGGGATCCCTGGGGATGCTCCAGCCCCGCTCCTGTGAGGAGCTGAGGCATTTTGGAGCCTTTTTTGGAGCCTTCCCGCTGCCCTCGGAGCTCCCAGCTGGAAAGGCAGGGAGGCAAAGGGGCACAGGAGGAGCTGCTGCTGTGCAGCTATCCAGGGGGACCCAACCCTTCCCACCCTCTGGAATGACCCAGGCTGAGCAGCCCCCCCTCCTCCTCCTCATTCACCACAGCCAGGGCTGGTTTTTCGCTGCCTTTATTAGACCGCAGAGGGGGGCTGTGTTTTTATTCCCTTCCCGGGAGCGGATGCAGCAAGAGGGAGGCAGGGAAGGCAGGAGAGGATGAGGATGTGTGTGTGTGTGGGGGGGGGGGGTATCCCAAACCCCCTGGGTGCAGGGATGAGCTGATCCAGGGCTTTGCTGGCAGAGCTGGGTGCTGGTGTCACTGGTGCTTCTTTATCCAGCTGTGGGGTCTGTTTGTAATTCCTACATTTGTTTCATGTCAGTGCTGCCTCTGGGATAAAACCTTGGCTGTGAGGGTGAGGCTCAGCAGCTGCTCCTCATCCCCTTCCTTTGCCATTCCCTGTGCTGCCCAAAAAAACCCAGGGGCTGCTGCTTGTCCCCAGGCCTGACCATGTGTGTCCCCTCCATCCCAAATCCCTGCTGTGAAGTTCCCGGCTTGGCTGCCAGAAAGGATCCCTGGTCCCCCAGGGAAAGCTGCCCTTCTCCCCCTCCCAAAAATCAGGGTGCTGCGTGCCCCTCCCACTTGGCTGGGATATTCCCTGGGCTCTTCCCAGCTCAGTTCCCAGGGGTTTAACGCCAGTTCCTGGGGGTTTTGCACCGTTTCTCCAGCTTGGCCGGGCCCAGGGGACCCGGTGTGGGGCTGGAAAGGGGGGGAAATCCTGCAAAGGTTTTCATCCTCCTTCATCTTTCAACCCTCTCTTGAGCATCCCCTTGGCTGCCCCTTGGTGTGCTCCACTGCTGGAGCCTCTCCCAAGAAAAAAGCCCCTAAAAAGCCCCTTCATGGAGTTCACCCAGCCAAAAACAATCCAGCCACTTCCCCCAGATTAACTCCCCCCTGCTTGCTCCCAAATCCAGGTATTTGTGCAGCCAGCTCCCTGTGGACATTTGGGGGGAGGAACTGCACCCCCCCCTCTGCCGGCAGCCCCAGCAGCTCCCAGGCCCTTTCCCGCTGGGAATGGGATGCTGTGGAGTTCTGGGGTGGGTTTCAGGGGGGCTCTGAAGCACGGGGGGGGCGTTATTTAATGCAGAAGCTGGGGCTGGCGGGAGGGCGGGCGTGGGGTCTCTGCCCCCCAGCGTTTTCGGGGGGCGTGCTCAGGGCAGGTTCCAAGCCAGGGGTGAGTTAAACTGGGCTGAGGGGGTGGGGCTGCGACCCAGCTTGGGGGCAGGAGGGGAGGGTGCTCCTAAAACCAGCAGGGCATCCACATGAAGGAGCCCAGGGCGGCGCCGGTGGCCGCCCCCGCCAGCAGCCCCAGCGCCATCTGGTCCCCGGACACGCGGTACGGATCCTCCCGCACGATCACGTGCGTCACCCCGGGACCTGCACGGCAAAACAGGGGTGGGGGGTGAGCCGGGGGGGGGGGGGGTAACCACCCTCCTGGCACCCCCCCCAGTGCCACCAGCAGGGCCACCCACCTCCGTACTGGGGGCCGTAGTGGCCCGAGCTGATGTAGGCGGTCTGGTGCGAGTCCAGCGGCACCGTCTGGTAATAGTCGTCGTCGTAGGGGTCGTACACGTGCACCTGGGGCAGCAGGGGGTCAGCAGGGGGGCTCTGGGGGCTCTGCCCCCCCGTGACACCCACGGGGGACGAGGCCTGAGCCCCTTGGGGGGATCTGGGGGGGGCTGGGGCAGCCTGGGCTCAGGATCGGCATCGTCTGCCCCTGCTCAGCCACCCCAGGGTCTGCTGCCCATCACTCTGAGCCTGCCCTGGCACCTTAGCAGTGTCCCTGGCACCTTAGTAGTGTCCCTGGCACCTTAACAGTGTTTCTGTCACTGTAACAGTGTCCCTGTCACCTTAACTGTGTCCCACCAACTCAGCTCTGCCCCCATTCCTCTTGACGGTGTCCCTGTCACCTTACCTGTCTCCCTGTCACCTTACCTGCGTCCCTGTCATCTTACTGATGTCCCTGTCACTTTAACTTTTCTCCCATTCCCTTTAACAGTGTCCCTGTCACCTTAACTGTGTCCTACCACGCCAGCTCTGCCCCATTCCCTTTAATGGTGTCCCGTTCCCTTTAACCGTGTCCCTGTCACCTCAGCTGTGTCCCTGTCACCTCAGCTGTGTCCCACCATCTCAGCTCTGCTCCCATTGCCCTTAACTGTGTCCCCATAGCCCTGTGTCCCCTGTCACCTCAACTCTGCCCTCCCCCTCAACCCTCCCCCACAGCACAGGGTCCCCTCGGCTCTGTCCCCTCCCACCAGTGGTGACATCCAACATTTCCCCTCTTGTCCCCTTGTGGTTCCAGGGACTTCCCTCCCTGTGCCCCCCTGTGCACGAGGGGTCAGCCCTGGGGAGTTGGGGTAACCAAAGCCTCACCGGAGTGGATTTGGCCTCCAGCACAGCCATCTTCCAAGCACTGCAACAGAACAGAGGGATTTGGATTTGGGGGGTGCTGGGGGGGCTGGGAGGGGTGGGAATTGTCCCCGTTCCTCCCCCAGGGACCTGGATGTGGCACTAATCCCTAATTCCCTATTGAGGAGCTCTGGGATAACAGTGGGGACGGGAAGGTGCCAGGAGGTACCAAACACCACAGGGCGGTTCCTGGGAATGGGCTCAGCTAAAACCAGGAATATGGCATCCAAATTCAGTGGGAAAAGCAGGTGATGGGAGAGTTTCCAGCCAACTGGGGCCAAGCTCAGTTGACCAAGCTCAGCTTGGCCATGGCTGAACTCTCCCTCCATCCCAGCTCAGCTGAAGGTTTCCCACTTTTAATTTTTTCTAATTAAAAAAAAATAAATTTTTAACTTCATTTCTTTTTTTTTTTTTTTAGGAATCAAGAGAAGGGGAGCACTGCTAAAAAATGGGGGTTTGCCTAAAGCCAGAGGGGACTTCACGTTCACACTATTTATCCCCAGATACCAATGGAAACCCTTTTCCAGGGATCCTCGGTCAGGCCGAGAGGGGATTTCTGATCCATGAGGAAAACCCACCCCACGGGGGAAGGACTGCTCGGAAACAGCAGCTTCTGCCTCGGGATCATCCAGCGGGAAACCCAAACCTCCTCCTGCGCCTTTCTGCCCCCGTGAGTGGGTTTGAGTGAGCAGGGGGCTGTGGGATGGGGTGGGATGTGGCGGGAGCGGGACAGGGCTCTTCCCAGGCTGGGATAACCGCGATGAGGAGGGCACCGAGGGGGTCGCAGCTTACATGGCATCGTCCTGGCTCTCGGCGCACAGCGTGGTCTTGGAGCCGTCCCGGAGCACCACGGTCAGGAGGCATTCCCGGCTCCTCCCCTCGGGAGGCTGCACGTCTGGGAATGCAAGGGGAGGGATCAGCCTCTGCCGAGAGCCAGGACCCTCCCTCCCTGTCCACCCCCGGGCTCCAGATCCCCCTGGCACAAGGGCTGATGGATGCAGCGTTAAATAACTGCATTGGGGGATTAATCCGGATTCTGTTGGGACCCCAAGGGCTAAAAGGAACACGAGGAATGAGCTGGTGGGCAGACACCTCCACACCCCCAGGGCAGAAAGGGCGTGGAAGGGCAGGGAACTGCCACAAATGTGCCCGAGCTGCTGCATCTGTCTCGAACCTGCCAGAGTGCACCCCGATTTTGTAGGGAGGGGAGATGCTCATCGCCGGATTGGCACCACGAGCTCCGCGAGCAGGAACAAAATCTTAAACCCAGGAGGCTCCTGTGCCTTGCCCTGTTTTCCAGCCTTGGGGTGAGCCACACAAAGCTTTGGGATTGTGCTCCCACGGCCGCTCCAGCCCCAGAAAGGCTCTTTGTGCAGTACCCGTGGGCTGTGGGGCCCAGCCAAGCCGGGCTTTGTTCTCCCTGTTTGTGCGAGACGGAGACGGATGAGTCAGGAACGTGGGATCGTGTTTGCAACAAGCACAAACCAGGAGGAGAGAGTTCCTCCTTCCTTCCCTCCTTCCTCGTGGAAAAGCAATGGGAGAGAAGATGCAATAAGCGTCTCCTGGTGGGGGGAATGGCTTGGGAAAGGAGTGAATGCGGCAGGCTGGGTTCTTTTTGGGGTGTCCTGGATGTGCACGGGCAGAGCAGGGTTTAGAAGGGTCGCAGCCACCCGGGGAGCCCTGGGATGGGGTTGGGAACGTGGGGCTTGGCTCACCCTTGCACTCCCGGCCGATCCGGACGTCCCGGCAGCTGAACTTGACGTGGATCCGGCCGTCCATGTCCCGCTGCGTCTCATCGTGGTAGTAAACCAGGCTGCCATCCAGGTACAGCACGAACCAGTTCCTCTTCCAGCGGCGCAGGATGGAGCCTGGGGGCACGGGGAGGGGGTGAAGGACCCCAGTGATCCCGCTGGGATACAACCGGCTCGCTCCCCCGT